AACAAATTGGGTAATAAAGCATAATTTGAGCAAAACTGTTGCCATGTCATGCTATTCCTTTGATCTTATCTCTAGTATTGAGTACTGATCCAATTCAAGCACAAGTCACAAGTATGTTTAAATTTAGTGAGTGTGAAGATCCATTCAAGGAAAAGTTAATTAATAATGGGCATATTTCTGAATTTTTACAGAAGCTTTGCAGTAACTAAAAATGACTACCAAGGAGTCTTCTAAATAAGCAAGGAAAAAGGGAGCAAACTTTGAAGTTTTCCCTTCTAATATGCAAATAATTTGAGGTGTGGAAATGACCCAATGTGTTTGGCAGGATTCACATCTAAGAATAATATAAGGACGAGATGACTCAAAACCAAGAGTAGTGCCTTGTACAATCATGCATATGATTTTCATATTTCAACAAATATTGTACTTATTAAACAAAACCATTAAGAAATAAAATTAATATTGTCAGAATTTAAATTGAGTTTACAAAATTTATCAACTAGAGCATTATTAAATGTCATCATATGGTAATGAAAGATACCAGTAACAATGTATCACTACTCAGACTCAAAGAAAAGAAAGTACAAAGATCCCAAATGTCTCACAATAGTGGGTGGGTTCAGTAAATTACACTCTACTCCTATAATACAATGATACGCAGCCATTAAAAAGGAGGAAATAAATCTCAAGGTTCTGCACATATAATGGTACACGCAATAGATTGCTGAATTTAAGAAAAGGAAACATTGAAATCATTATGCTGGATGAATGAAGAAACAAAAGGCCACATTCTGTGTGCCTCCATTTACACGAAATGTCCTCAATAAGCAAATCCAGAGAGAAAATTGATTAATGGTTACCAGTGTAGGAGGAAGTAGGGACTGAGAGGTATAGGAGGATTGCTTTGGAGGTAATGAAGACAATGGTGATGCCTGCACATTGTCAGTGTACTAAAGGCCACTGAACAAGTACCCTTTAAAGTGGTCGGGGCTGGGGATTTAGCTCAATGGTTCCGCCATCTGCCTTGCAAGCACAAGGGCCAAAATTTGATCCCCGGTACCAAAAAAAAAAAAAAAAAAAAAAAAAAAAAAAAAAAAAAAAA